AACAACTGAAGTTGAGCAGTCTAGGTGGCATAAACCCTACCGAATCCAGCGTTTGACCTATCTCAACCAGGTCAGGTATAGAACAGCTTTAGGAACTCCGAAGAGAACCAGGTATAGACAACAATAGTTGATTTCTCAGGTGTGCCACTTAGACTCGGAGGTCCAGTATTACTGTCAGGACATAAGGGTTTGGGTATGAGCCTACCACGGCCTTGGCTAGCTTCACCAATCCTCATGTGGAGTTAGCCCACCCACTGTCCTCCAAGTACCACGCACCCTCTAGTATCTAGTCAAAGACTACATCTTTAACTAGATACCTTGCTCAAATTGGTCATTCAACCATGACATGGATCGACTATTTCCATGTCGCCCACACAGTTCTAAGGGATTCAACTTTAAAACAATAGGCATATTAACAACTTCACAGCAATAGATAACTTACAACTTTAAGCAACTTACAACAATAGGCAACTCATACAATTTTAAACAACTTTTACAACAATACACTACTTCAACTTATGCATATCAACCCATTAATAATTCAACAATAAACAACATAAAACAACTTAGTTTCACAACGTATAACAACTTTAACAACATCATATATTATAAACACTCAACATATGAAAAACTTAAGCTAACAGCTACTCAATCCACAAATAACATCTTAACCATTTTCAAATAAAACAATGCATGAAGCTTCCCTAACTCTCCTAAAATTAAACAATCTACATTCTAGCTTCCCTCACTTGAAGATTGGTTCAGATAGCCAAAAACTGAACAAAAGTGGAATTTCCCTTCAAGGCTCAACTTGGAACTTCAATCCACCCAAATCAAACTTTCTAATCTGAATTTCAAGAAATGACAGAAAGCATTAGTGGTCTAGAGGAGAAAAGGATTCATACAGAGAAATTTAGGAGAGAAATGAGCTCACAGACCCAGAGACCTTCTCTCTAAAAACTCACGTTCTCCTGAAGGCCCCCAACCCCTATTTATAGAATTTTTGGAGTGGCCAGAACGGCCTGTACCGATACCGGAACGGCCCGTTCTAAACTCCCTCATCAAGTGCAAAAACCTCGTGCAGAACGACAAGTTCTGAAATCAGAACGGCCCGTTCTCCATCCAGAACGACCCGTACTCCAACTAGAATGGTCCGTTCTCCAACCAGAACGGCCCGTTTTGTAATTTGGAATGGCACGTTCTCCCTCCAGAACGGCCCGTTCCCAACTACGTTTCACAGGATAATTAAATAGCTTGGAACGGCCCGTTCCAGATTGGGAACGGCTCGTTCCAGATTGGGAACGGCCCGTTCTGGCTACTAAATTAGCCATTTTTTTTACATCAATTCAAAGAGGTGTTACAAATGATATCAGAGTAGGCCATCTCTCTTAATATGATGTGGTAGGGATGAACTAAGCAGAACTTGATTGACTTGTAATAGCCTAAACATACCATAATGAAAGAGATACACAAATTTGTATAAGTGTGAGATTGTATAGTTAAAGATGACTTAAAGGAATTACTTAGTGCTACCTATACAAATAAGATGCATTTACTTTTCGGTAAGTCATCGCATAATAACTTTACAGTTAAGCATGTTTGACTTGGAGCAATTTAGGGATGAGCGACCTTTTGAAAATTTTCTCAAAAAGTGTATGAATGAGCACAAAGCACATTGAAAAGTTTTGTATTGGTTCATAAGGAAAGTCGATGATCCTAAAGGTGGCATGCATCTCCGAAAGGGTTACTTGTAGAGGGTTTTGAGCGTTTTGATTGGTGAAAAGTTCTAACCAACACAAAATTTTATGGAGTATCATTGCTTAAAATGTCAAGAAGTGGAGCTGTTGAGAATCAATTCAAAGAGGTATTATAGAGTGAATATTTAATATAAGTAAAATTGCAAATTTTATAAAATTATAAAATTTAGAATCTAGGAGATTATAATTGTAGATGGAATATTATAAAGAGACAAAAAAAAATTAAAATTTTAATTAAGTTGTACATCAATCTTAACCCCGTTATTCTAATAACTAGGCAAACATAACCTTAAAAAACAATATCATGTTACTTGAAGAGTCTAGCAATAAATTAAAAAAAATTCCTTTTGATATTATAAAGAAGAAAGACACAAGTTGAAATTAAAAAAAAAAAATTCAATGCTTTTATGTCTTTATTATCTATTTTCATTTTCTTATATTTATTTATATTTTCCTTTTGATATTTATTCTCATTATATCAATAAACCTGTTTTTTTTTCATAAAATTATTAAGATAAATCTAGTGATAAATATGAAAGTAATATATATAGAATTTTAAGTTTGAATCTAATTCCGTCTTTATAATTTTGATAAATAAATAAATTTATGTTTCTTATTACAGCTCATTCTGATTATAAATAAATAAATAAACCCATTACCTATTTCCCTGTTTCCACCATCCAACCACACTACCCAATCAATTTGTAAGATTCAAAATAACAACCCATTACCTAATATGGCCTTAGACACAAAGGATCCTAGAATTAGAATAAAAATGTTGTTGGGCCACATCTAAGTAATTAGCGAATGGCAGATGATAAACACACCTCCACTCTCGTATAAACACACCCCTTTTTTTAAAAAATATACACAAAATATCTAAATTACCCTTAAAAAAAATGAAATTTCAAAATTTACACCCCTTCCCCGCACCCCTGTACCCCGCACCCCTGTACCCCGCACCTCCACCCCCCACCCCAACTCAGGGACTGAATCTTGACGGCGGCGCAAGTTTCCTCCGCCGAGCGCCGGTCCTGCGGTGCCGTGGCAGGGCGGCTAGCGAGAGCAGCGGTGGCGGTGGTGAGCCTGACGACCTCGGCGGCGGCGTGTGCGACAGCGAGAGCGGCCTCGGCGACTGCTGCGGTGGCGGCGGCGATGGCATGCTTGTTGGCGTTGAAAGAGTGGGTGAAGGGAGCAGAAGAGGTGGTGGGGTTGTGGGTTGCGGTGTGTTTAGAGAAGGGCCAAGTTTTTTTGGGCTTGGGAGCGATGGTGTGGGGGTTTGGCAGATTGCGGTGTTTTTTGGCGCCGAAGAGTCGACAGAGAAAGGCCATGAAGGGAGTTTAAAGCATTGGAAAGTGAAAGAGAGATAAGAGAAGTAGAGAAGGAGTGGAATGGAAGCCTTGGAAGAAGGTGAGACTTAAAATGGAGTTTAGATTTGGAAATGTGTTTACTGTTTTATGCTACCTTCCCACGCGACTCTGCTTATTACGCGCTGATGCGGGGAAGGGAGGTGCGGGGTACAAGGGTCGGGGAAGGGAGGTGCGGGGTATAGGAGGGAGGGGAGGTGTAAATTTTAGAATTTTTTTTTTAAGGGTAATTTAGATATTTTATCTATTTTTTTTTAAAAAGGGAGTGTGTTTATATGAGAGTGGAGGTGTGTTTATCATCTGCCTTTTAGCAAATTACATAAAATCAAATTGTAATCATGCACCGCATTAATCAATTCTTTGGTTTTTTCTAAAATAGTAGTCACGTTCAAATAACTTGGGTTTGCCACAAGAAGTATCGGGATATATTCATAATAAACATCAAATTACACCTAACATTGACATTATTAATATGTAAATCGCTGACATGGAAAACAAAATGTTGCTTAATATTAGATGATTATGATAACGAAACAGAAGAGTCATCCGTCCCCTTATAGGAGGAGGAAAATCCTAACTAAACTCCAAAATTATAAATACAAATATTGGCACTTGTTTCGATGATATCACTCACAGCAACACAGCAACACACAAGTATTTATTCCGAATTCACATTCATACCAACTAAAAATAAACCCGATTAAAACTTGCAAAAGGTGTTCCGATGATATCCAAGCCCAGCCTCAACACTTATGCCACGGATGCAATGTGGACAATCAAATCAATCACACGGGAACTGCAAAAAAACCAAACAAATTTGTCCCCGTTACTAAGCAACAATAAAGAATTAAAAAATAAAAATTCCTTGTTCTTGTATTCAAGGCATGATTATGAGAACAAGGTATAGAGAAATCATTACCTGTAACCCCATTCGTTGTCATACCACGAAACAACTTTAACAAAGTTGTCGTTCAAGGAAATTCCAGCCTTGGCATCAAATATGCTAGACCTGTATATGAAAGTAACATCCAACACAGTAAGTAATGGGATTAAGAGAACAACAAAAACTGATTATGATAGTTTATCTTTCACCAACAAAGATAGTCAAAGAAGCCAACGTTGCTTCAAAACTCAACATCACCTGCTGTCACCAACAAAATCAGTAGACACCACATCATCTTCAGTGTAGCCCAAAATCCCCTTCAATTTGCCCTCTGATTCCTCCCTGGATTTCAACACAAATAGTTGTTGGGTCAATAGGAAAATTGTTTTATTCAAATTGCCAAATGCAAAGATTTTGAAAAGGTTAATAACTCACTTGATAGCAGCTTTGATCTGTTGATAGGTTGCAGGCTTCTCTAGCCTGACAGTGAGGTCAACAACTGAAACATCCACAGTAGGGACTCGGAAAGACATTCCAGTCAATTTACCATTCAGTGCTGGAAGAACTTTTCCTACAGCCTGTTTATCCCAAATTCAACATTCAACATTCAACAGCGACAAAGAACTAAAGCTTTTGAATAAAATTCACTCAATCAAACTAGTCAATTTTAAGGTTTAATTACCATTCTGGTCATTATAGTTTCATAGGGATTAAAACTAAAAAATAGTTTGTATGAAGATTAAAACAGAAAGTTTTTAACTATAGAAATTAAAAGGTAAAGTTAATAAAAAATATAAGGATCAAAAGAGGAATTAAATATCATTTTAAATATTAACAATAATAAGTACCTTAGCAGCTCCAGTGCTGCTGGGAATAATATTGAAGGAAGCAGCTCTTCCACCCCTCCAGTCCTTGTTTGATGGACCATCAACAGTCTTCTGAGTAGCTGATTCATCACAAAAGGTGTAGATAATAGATAATGAATACCATTTTCATCTTGAATCGGAAAGGATCTTAAGACTAGTTCAAAGATATGCGAACCTGTGATGGCGTGAACAGTGGTCATGAGACCCTCAACAATTCCAAATCGGTCATTGATAACCTGTGCAAGATTAAGATTAATGATTAAAAAACAAAAAGAAGGGGAATTTATAATACAGATATCAGCACCAAGAAATATATCACAAGGGGTATCAAACAAAAACCTTGGCGAGAGGAGCAAGGCAATTGGTAGTGCAGCTAGCATTAGAAACAATGTCAAGCTCTGGCTTGTATTCCTTCTCGTTAACACCAACAACAAACATGGGTGCATCTTTGCTTGGGGCAGAAATGACAACCTTCTTGGCACCACCCTGATCATAACCAAAATCCAAATTACTAATTAGTCTTGAAATCACTAAATAATCTTCAAGATATCCACCCTTTTTCTTTTCCTTAATTTTAAAAAGGTAAGCGGTGTTCAAAAGAAAACCAACAGATACAAAATCCAAAAAGATAATCAATAGAAACATTGGGGATAATCACAACGAACCTTCAAGTGAGCAGCAGCCTTATCCTTGTCAGTGAAGACACCAGTGGACTCAACAACAAAGTCAGCACCAGCTTCACCCCATGGAATCTCCTCAGGGTTCCTGAGGCAAAAACATCAACAACTAGATTAAAAAAGAAGAAGAAGAAGAAGAAGAACATGGAAGTGCCATAGATTTAAATTTTAAACACGAGAAAAATAGAAAAACAAATGAGTTACCTGATACCAAAAACAGCGACAGACTTCTCACCGAATAGAAGGGTCTTGGAGTCCTTCACCGTGAGATCAAAATGCTTCCACTGGCCATGAACGGTGTCGTACTTGAACATGTATGTCTGCCACAACAATCAAAGTTTAAAACAAACAAGAACATGTATGCAATGTTATAATCTTTATTTTCTTTCTAAACAGACCATAGAGTCAAAAGCAAAAATGCCTCACCATGTAATCAGTGGTGATGAAAGGATCGTTGATAGCAACGAGTTCAACATCATTCCTTTGCAAGGCAACCCTGGCCACCAAACGACCAATCCTTCCAAATCCTGCTTACACATAATTCTCATTAGAACAAGACTTAAATACACTACTACAAATGTAGTTGGTGTTGATCTCCTGTCAGAACTCAAATTTCACCTTACTAATACGTGTTATCAAGGTAAAACAAAATTTTGATCCAAAATGTTTTTTTTCGATCAAAATTGAAATTTTACCTTGATCAAATATCAAGTAAAACTCCAATTTTGAGTGAAAACAGTATCATCTTAAGTTATTATCATGTTAAAAACATCATGGTACGACACAAAGAAAAACACACTGAAAAAGTGACATGAAAGAAAAATAATTACCGTTGATACCGATCCTAATCTTCTTGTCTGATGCTGTTCAACAAGAAAGAACATTAGAAAGCTACAGATTAAAAGATGTTACAATAAAAGAAAACTGAGAATGAATAATAGAGTACCCATGAGAAAGAGTTGAGAAAAGTAAGTTTGTCTGAAAATGAGATTAAAAGTGAGAGAGAATGATTAGAGAGTGCTTTGGTGAGAAAAGCAAGGTTAAGGAGGGGCTATTTAAAGTGGTTGTGTCTGAAGACAATGGGTCACGGTCACATGAAGGTCGTGAAAGTTCTGTTTGGGGAAAAGGAAAAAAGTGGCTTCGAGCCGCTGATTTAGTTTGAGAAAACAAAACCAAGGAATTGCCCATAGTTCGGTCAAAAGGTTAAACGTTGGGTGAGGTGGGGCTTTTCATTGCATACATTACCATCTAGAATTTGTAACAAAAAAACAAAAGAATTTGTAAAGTTTCTTACAAGAATTTGTAAAGTTTGTTTTTTTTTTTTTTTTTTTTACTGTGAATCAATCATATTTTTTAAATTAATTTATTTTTTATATTTAATTAAATAAGTAAATGATATAATATTATTAAAAGACATGATTAGTTACTAAAATTTTAAACTGATTACCTTAAAAACAAAATAGCATCTAGAATTGTTATGACCATGATTGCTTTTCCAGGGTGTTTAATGAGAAATTATAAACAGTAAAATATATTTAATGAAAATATTATATTTTTTAACATATTAAATTTATATTTTTTATTTTATATTTAAATAAAATTTTAATGATTATGTATTACCAAGTTGGAATGATATGAATGGAAAGAAACATAATCGAGATGAGATATTACTGAATCGTTGATAATTACGTTTTTCGTTAAAATTTAGTCATCAACTAAATCAATAGTTACTTTAAATTAATAGTGATAACACACTATTTCGTAAAAAAATTTATACTATCAATCAATTAAAAAATTATCGTTTATATAAGTTTTAAGGGAAGGGAATTACTATAAAAGTCAACAAAAAATATTATTTATATTATTTTCTTTACAAATTTATGATGGTTTATAATTTATATAACAATGTAAAATTTAATATAGAATCTATTTTTAAGAAAATGTATATTTTTATTCAATAAAAACTCTTTATGTAACTATTTCAATAATATGTAATGTTTTTTTTTATGTACATATTCATATTGTGTTCAAAAGTTAATAATTATAGACTAATTTATATTTAAAGGATTTTTTTTTTCTTCTAGAAATCATATATAATACTTTGTAATTAGAAGATAGTGATATTGTGTGTATAGCCTTTTTTTTTTTTTTAAATTGTTATATGTTGTTAAACATTTTTTATTCAATATTTTAATAGTCCTCTAAGAGCATTTGGTAACGTTTGGCGGAAATGTTAATTGGTATCATAGAATATTCGGATTTCGAGACGTTTCTGTGCTGAGACTTGTCGAGTTTCTAATGGAGTTTTTATTGACCTTGAGCTAATGTGGTTTTCAAAAGTGAAACTGATACGTTTTTTTATTACCGTCAAAGTCGCAATTAATTTTTATTACCATCAATTCCTATTAGGTTATTTTGACACCTCGATTCCATATTAGGTTTGTATGTGGAGTATATCTGTATATGACAATGTATATTCACAGGTAAATATGGTATATATAAAAAATAAAAAATAAAAAATCTAACGTAAAAAACAAAAATGACAGTGAAAAAGGTATTGAAATAAAAAATAAAAAATAAAAAAGACAACACAGTTTCAGTTTCTAGATTGTTCTATGACGAATGACGATGACATCTATTAAGAAGAAACAATATTTTATTTTACATAAATAAAAGAAAAATACAAGACATTGACACAATCAATGTATTTGGGGGGGATGACATTTGCGTCAGAGCCTTAGAAGACGTAACGATCCATGCTACCTTCAAGAGTTATAAAGCAATGCTATAGAATTTAATTAGATTTTATAAATTTTAAAGCAATATTAACATTTCTATTGTATTTGTACATGTAAATCAAAAAACTTGCACACCAAAAAAGAAATAAAATTTAAATTGATATACGTGGATCATCCTTAATGCTCTCTAATCTCTAAAGACACCAAAGTCAAACTACACATTTGAATTAATTTTAAGAGACATAAAATTTTGATTAAATATTAAAAGACTTTTTTACTTAAAAAAATATTTTAAAATTTTATGAAATTCTAAATTAATACACTCCTTTGTAGATTTTAAATGAATACAAATTTTTTTGTCAAACATTAACTTTAAAGTTTAAACTAGGATGCTTAAATTTGGAATAACTAACTACTAAAGCGCTTAATTACAAGGTTTGTTTGTTTTTGAATTTTGTATTTAGTTCTTGTTTGGTTGACTCCTTTCTATTCTATTATATTAAGCTATTTTATGTCATGGTGTATATAATGAAATGGTGAGGCTTGAGCGTGATGCTTGACATCAGTCTTCACGTCCTGTTGATCAATAATCATTTGCTGCAATGATCAATTCAATACCTTAAACGACTTTTTTATAAGCTAGTTTCGCATTTACATGGCAATAGAGGAATACCAAGGCTATACTGTGAGACATGGAACATGAACTCAATGGTGACACTCCCAATTTTAATTTTTTTTTATGGACATAATTCATGTTAATAAGACGTGACTTTTATTAATTAAATATTATTTTAACACGAAATTAACCCTAAAAATATCAAGTAAACTCTTAATATAAAAATTAATCTTAAAAATATTAAGTCGATTATTCTTGTCTCATGTTTATAACCACTATAATATAAAGTTGGTTTAATTTTAATTTAAATATTGTAGAGGGTTCATAAACAACCGGAAATGGGTCAACAAATACAATTTACTATGAATTATCAAATAGAAAGCAAAGTCAAAGAAGGATCTCCTTTATATAACTTTTCAAGTTCCTTTAGATCGCTCAATATTTGGCAACATGTGCTGTGACAAAAACTAGTTCGTGAATTATTTGTATGGGTTGTTTTGAATTTCAAAGAACCAACAAAGGGTTAGAACCATATTTAAAACATCGAGAAGGTTGAAGTTGAAGGATGATTTGATTTTGAACTCAGAAAAGAAAAGGACTAGAAAGAAAGTGTCAACATGCTTCGACGTATTTTCATTGAAAAGATCCTTTTGGGTTAAAATCAAAAGAAAAGTTACAAAACGATTGGCTTCGCCCGGACTCGAACCGGAGATCTTCAGTGTGTTAGACTGACGTGATAACCAACTACACCACGAAACCACTTATTCGCTTGTTGAGCTTTTGATAAAAACATATTTACTTAAATTTTCCCATGTATATTTTTCAAAAATTGTTCTCAGCCAATTTATTATTACTATTTATAGTCTTTTAATATATTAACTTTTATTTTTTTTCTTATAATATTGAATAATTTATTATAGATTTTATTATTTTTTTCAAAAAGGCTAATTCAAAATAAAATATTATAAGAACTAAAACAGAAAGTTGATATTTTCTTTGTTTGATACAAAAAAAATTAAATAATAATAATTTTACAAAGACTAAAAAATATATATATATTTTAAACATAAAAATTATAAAACCACTTAAAAAATTGCAAAAATCAAACCAAAAATGATAATGTATTATAATGACTAAAATACATTTAAACCAACAAAATTTATTGAACAAACTTGGAACTTATAAGTTTAGTTTGATTAAAATAAAATTATTTAGTAGGAAAGTTGAGTTCATTTGACTTGTTTTATTTGTAGCTTAATTCTCACGTATAAGTAAAATTTTAAGTTAAATTAGTCACATTTGTATAAAAGCTTTTAGAATTAAATAACAAAATAATTGTAAAGAACTATTAAAAAATGTTTTTTTTTTTTTTGGAAAAACTAAGTGAGCTAAAGCAAGAAAAATTATTCATAATTAAAACTCTTGTATTTTTTTTTTTAAAAATTATTCTCTTAAGATTTTGTTTTTCTTATTTTAATTCTTCCCCACTCTTTTAGATTGCTATTTATAAATCTTTTGAAATAAGATAATATATAT